TTTGCTTTTGTTTTGGTCTGGTTTGTTTTGTTGTTGTTTTGTTTTGTTTTTTGCCTTTCTTGCTTTGTTTAGCATGACATTATCCATTTCCATCCATTTTGCTTCAGATGGCAAGTTCTCATTCTTCTAATGGCTGCAAAATACTCCATTTATCCTTTATCTGTTTAACTATTGACAAGCAGCCATATGGATCACACCAGCACCACAAAAATGACTTACGTGCTTGTCTGTTGAGTTCTGCCATCATTTCCTTTGAACACACAGTAGTGGGCCAACTTGATCACATGTTAAGTCTGTTTCTAGTTCATGAGGACTCTACCTACTTCTTTTCAAAATGTGCCTATTGACTGATATTTCCATCCATAAAATGTAAGAATTATTTTTTATCCATATCCTTACCAGCTTTTATATTCTGATAATACTCATTCTAACTGGGGTCACACAACATTTATGTAATTTTGATTATGATTTCACTGGGGACTGAAGACAGTGAGTACTTCAGATACTTACTGAATATTTATATTTCTTGTTTTAAGATATTTCTAAATTCTTCTGATTTCCAATGTTTTGACTACCTCAACTTGCCCAAAGATTTGGTTTCTAGCGTCTCTTTATCCTAAGCCCCAGAATGAGATCTAACACTAGAAATGGTGTCTGTGGTTCTACCAGGAAGCCAAGCTGTGGGGATGGTGACAAGCCTAGGAGCATAAGGAGGCCATATCTCTTTCTGTTGAAACACTCACGAAATGCATATATAAAGGTACTTTCTTCTGTAGAATCTTTTACTCTTCCAAATGCATAACACCACGCCTTGGGGGTTTTCTTTTCTTCAGTAATCTTGAATAAACAACTATTTTATACTGTCTGTTAATGTAGTTGTAGTACTTCCTACATGTCCTAGGCTTAGCAGATGCTTGTTCAGTCAAGATTATATTCCAAAAATATGATTATGCTATTGTCCACACAGGGGATTGAACTGAGATTTGTAACTTGTTAGTTTCTTTGGCTTATTTATTTGTTAGCTTGTTTATTTAGTGTGTTTGTTTGTGGTATCGAGGACTGAACCGAGGGTCTTGCGCATGCTCAACTAGCTCTCTGCTTCCAACCTATATCTCATTATTTTTAAGACAATTTTGTTAAGCTGCCAAGACTAATCATGAACCCTCTTTATGTTCCAGGCGGGCCTTGAACTTGTAATCCTCCTATCTCAGCCTCCCAAGAAGCTGGAATAACAGATCTGCCTCATCAGCCCTGGCCTTTTATTTGTTTTAAAAATGGCCCTTTTGAACAGCTTATTAAATCTAGGAAGTCAAGCATCAAAATATTTCCTAGAACCTAGGAGATGGTACTCATACATTCACATATGTGCTCACTACATGCAAAGTTGAACACAGACATTTAAATATTTTCAAGTTCAGATATAGCAAAGATTTCAGTAGCTAAATTCAACAGCTACCTTGTAAACTTGATAAAGATTATATTTTATCTCTACGTAGGCAAACAGACACTCAGCCAAGAAAACTAGAAATTAAATAGAGAAAAGGAATGAGGGAAAGGGAGATACTACCAGAACCACCTGTGTACAAGCTCTTTCCCTCCTGGCATTTTGGTATACAAATGACCTTGGGAAGGCAGAAGGCAGAAGAGATAAGCTGTTCATTGCCTGAAACTCTGTGAAATATTACAGGAAATGACCTATAATGAGATGTTCTGATACATACTTTTTAATATGTGCATTACCTCTGTGTGTGTATGTGTGACAAATGTGCCTGATGCCCGTGTACATCAGAAGAGCATGTCAGAAACCCCAGAAATAAGTTACAGACTATTGTAAGGTCCCCCGTGGGTACTCAGAAAGATCCTGGGTTCTCTTCAAGAACAGCAAAGAGCTCTTAACCACTGAGCAATCTCTCTTGTCTCCATTGCCTATATTTTAAGTATAAAATGTCATGTTATTTTATATTATGAAAAAAGTATTTGTTCCTATGTACAAGTAATAGACGTTGCTGAAAGTTAATGATAGACAAGTTTCACATATTTTATTGAGAGTAGGCAAGAGCAATATTTCATCTATCACAATGCCTAATGACTTCCATCCAGCTTTATCCTGTATATACAGTGGGGAAGTGGAAATCATTCTATGTAGATATTTTAAATATCCTTTCCTACTCTTTTGCATGATCAGTACAGAGTTTACAAACACATATTACTTGTATTTTGTGATTTCTGGGAATTGAAAAACCTCTCACATATTCCTTCTATTACCTTTGTCACTACATCAAGCTGACTACTTGGAACAGGATAAAAACAGGGGTGTAGATGCAATCAAAATAAGGAGACAGAGATTCGCATTGACTGATCTTTGCCGAAGAAACACAGGGAGCCAACTAAAACGCTTCCAGTAGCCACATTTGAAACAACTTGAATAAAAAATAAAATATTTATATTATAACCCAAAGGATTAAATAAACACACATAATTACAAATTGATGTAAATTAATGAATAAATAAATAAAGTTTAAAAAACTCTCACTCAGGAAAGTTTCAGATAATTTATATAAATACTCCTCTGAGAAGGAGGTACATAAATCTTCATTCCTCAAATATGAACTCTCACAGAAACCTTGTGCCAAATAGTCAATAGAGAAGAGAGGGGGAAAACCAGTAGATTTATCATGGAGAAACCTGGTAAACACTAGCCCAGACAAATGGCCAAGGTCAACATCAGCAGTGATAAATCATCCTGATAGTATGTGCCCTTGATTTGAGATCACAGCAATGACACTTCACCTCTGTGGTCGTTCTCCAAGTTGCTCAAAGCCCCATGAGAAAAACACCAGCCTAACTCTAACAGATAAGCATTCCTTAGAATGCCTGCCAATACTACCTGAGCTGTTTAGCTTATCAAAAACAAAAGAAGCCAGAGAAACTGTCACTACCAAGAAGAAACTAAAATAAGGCAACTAAATATATTACGGTACCCTAAATGAGATCTAGAACAGAAAGGGGATATAATATATAACCTAAGTAAATTCCAACAAAATATGGGCTTTAGTTAATAATTATTTATCAGCACTAGTTAATTAACTTCTTAAAAATTTACAACGCCAATGAAATTATTGTATTAGGCGGGGGTCTCTAGAGAAGCAGAGCTACTGTAATGTATGTAACTATATCATTAAAAGGGATCATTAGATTACCTTACACGATAGACTCAGGGTAATTCAACAATTTGTCATATGAATGCTCAAACTCAGGAAGCAGAGGACTCTGTGCTGTTCAGCCCAAAGATCTAGATATTTCAGCAGTCCCAGTTCAGCACTGAAAGCCTGAGAGGTCTCTGGAGAGTCGCCAGTATTAAGTCCCTATTTTAAGACTAAAAGAGTTGAAGCTTGTTGTCAGTGAAGGACCTTAATAGTAGCAGCAGATGCACCTGCTCATAGAGAATTAAAGCCAACGCATACTCAATACTTTTTCCTAGGACTTTACCTGCACCACCCATTGGAGGATACAACCAACCTTGAAGGTAGAGATTTCCCTCCCAGTTACTATCCCACCACAAAGTCTCTGGAAATATCCCCCACAGACTCACAGGTATGTTTTATGAGACCTTAGTACCTCTTAATTCGGTCAAGTTGATCAAGACCACCGACCATAAGTCCATTCCTTGTCAACTTAACAGCCAAAGCACGTCCTTTATGTCCTGCCGAATTTCTAAACAAAGTAATCAGGTTGTAAGTCTACCGAACTTGAGATAATATTCCACAGATAGCTGAAAACAGACTAATTCTTTCACAGACTAGATGGCAAAGTTTCCAGCTAGTCTGTTTACTCTTTTAATAGCTCCTAATTTAAGTCTGATAGTACAGATTTCACAACGTAAAAATGCTGATATTAACTGAGTTGTTATAGCGATTGACACATATGTACTTGGTATATGTATATAGGCACAAACATATTCTCAACAAAACAAGAAAGAAACACTCATAATTACAATTTTTGTTTCTTTAACTTGTCATGTGGTCATTATGACTACCCTTCTAATACCCTTTCTGTGTTTCCTCCACCCTCACCAAGCACCTCAGCAGGCCTTGAATCTGAAAAGGTGACCCACACCTACATTGCTGAAGGTTCTAGACCTTTTCTTATCTTGCCCAGATTGAGTTATAGTTACCCTGTTCTTAGCTTAAGAAAAAGGTGTATTAAAAAAAAAATCAGCTAAAACCTGCCTTAAGTTGTCTCTTACACTGCATACATGTTCTTTTTGATCTCCACAGTGGAATAGTGGTTCAAATTCCCACTGGTACCCTGGATCAATCACCCCTGTTGACATCCTAGCCTATTGACTCAAAGATATGAGAAGCCCAAAGGACCAGGAGTAAATCAGATTCTAGTTCAATAGACTGATTGTTGCACCTCCTGGTAGATATCTCCCTTTGGAAAGCAAGATAACGTATGACAAATTTACATAATCTGGAAGCAAAACTATTGCTAGAGGATCAGAGGACAATGGTGAGTTGCCACTTCCACCCATTTATTCCTGGACTTGTGAATCCTGGACACCGAGGGAAAAATACTATATGTTAAATGCTAATTACACACATACATATATACTCCTGGATAATCTTGTCCACGTCTTCCAATCTACTGCCACCTAATCGATACCATGTCTGTTTCTTCGAAAGGACATTCACCATTCTATCAAGCCAGCTGCTTTAAGATGGTGGAGAATATGGTAAAAACTAGTGAATTCCATGAGCACAAGTTACTACCACACTTCTTTAGCTGTGAACTGAATTCCTTGATCAGAAGCAATGTTGCTATAGTACTATGATGGTGGGTAAGGCACCACCTTAGCAATAGTTTTGAAAGAAGTATTACATGCAAGAAAGGCAGATCAATACTTGGAATAGGCAGCCCCGCCCATCTCCACTGGTGGCTGGTCACACAAGTCCACCGACCCTTGGCCAGTTGCTGCCTCCGCTACCACTGTGGCCAATATGTCCACAGGTGTGCCTTCAGGAAGTTCAAGTGCTGCCTCTGGCAGTAACCGCAGACTCCAGCAGACACAGAATCAAGTAGATGAAGTGGTTGATATCATGAGAGTCAACGTGGACAAGGTGTTAGAAAGAGATCAGAAGCTCTCGGAGATAGATGATGGCGCAGATGCACTGCAGGCTTCTCAGTTTAAATCAAGTGCTGCCAAGCTGAAGAGAAAGTACTGGTGGAAGAACTGCAAGATGTGGGCGATAGGAAACAGTGTCCTGGTGATTGTTGTCATCATTATTATTGTGTGATGTGTTTCTTAATGAAGAACCTGGTGAAACTGAAGCCTACTGTTCAGGAGCGTTTTCAAGACTTTCTACTTAGAACCTGCTATGTTATTGAGCTTACCTAATGTTTTTTGTCCAAATGATTACTTTTGTTAGTTTGCATACAGTTCAGTGCCTAGGAAATGTGCCTTTGTTTTAATATACACTCCAATGGGGATGTGAGCTGCCCTGCCCACATTTTGCACAGTGCCTTCACAGAGTTATGCACCAACTAGGAAAGAGGACTTCTGATGCTCCAGGGTGCTGGAGTCGAGGTGGATGTTGTCACTGATGACTTACTGTGCATTTCAGGAAGGGGATTCTAATTCACGTCAGTTGTCCCCACATCTGACATCGTCTTCAAAACCACACTTTCAAACCTCTGGGTGATTAGATTCCCAACTTGTGCCTTCTGAGGAGAACACTGCTGACTACCTAGCACAAATCGGTTACAACAACAGGGTGTGCCTTATTTTGATACTGGCTCCTTTTCCTTAAGAGGACCCTCCTTTCTGTAAGCACTACTGACTCCTGCTATATTTAAGATGCTCTCATGTTAGCTGTGAAGATGTTCACTTTTCGGTTCTTGTTGTGAATCGCTTCTCAGAGTATCTGAATCAAAAATAACCCTTTAAAAAGTTTTTGTAGAACAATGACCAAAGTATTTTTGCCAAAAGTTAAATACAAATAAAATGTCCGTAAGCCTGTCCCTAATAGACAAATTCAAACAATGTGCCAAATGTAACTCAAGGTGCCCTTCAAGGAAAAAGTGTTAATTCTGTGTGAGCCTTCACCATTTTCTTGATCCTGCCTGTGCTGTAGATAATGCTACTCCTTCAGATTTGGTTCCTTTCAGAGAGCTACAGGGGCGAGCTAAAGTCAGACCTAGAGATAAGACATTTAGCCAGCAGTTTGCAGACTGAACTAGAGGCTGCGGTCTCTAGCGCAGTGTGAGCAGCAGCTCCGCAGCCTCACGTCAGTTTGCACAGACCAGAGATCTTGAATGCTGTTTACTGCTTTTGCTCATACCCCACTTCCTAAACCGGTCCTCTGTATTGTGCTTGAGGTAAGGCGTTGGCCACTTCCAAGTGGAGAGCTAAGCAGAGATGCCTGTTGCTCTTAAGCCTGTTGCTACCTGAGACACTTTCGTTGTGTGTCTGAGACTTTCATCAAGGCATGGTTCAAAGTGGAGAGATCAGGCATGAATGAACATAAGAAAGCAGTGAGGAAAAAGCAGGCTTTCTTTGCCTGTGGCAGTGCCACTAGAATGCCCTGTAATTTGTGTGTGCAAAGCGGCTTCAGTCAAGACGTCATAGAATCTGGTTCCACTTTTTTATTTGGTCCCCTGACATTACTGAAACAATATAACTATTGAAAGTGTGCCCCGCTATGGGAAAGCGGCATCAGCATAGGGCCTCTGTCCTGGTCTGACCCACAACCGTGGTGCTGTCTCCTTCATACTCAGACCCATGTAACTCATTGGTTCCTACGTTAACACAATAATACCTCGCTTGTCTGTGCATTTAGCTGGGAACTTTCCCACTATGATGTCCTAAATAAAGGTGTTTCTTAACATGAAAAAAATACTTGGAATAAATATCTATCCTAGTGAAGGCAGAGCTCTGCCCATTCTATTATGGATGTGGTCCAGTGTGGTCAGTCCGCCACCAAGTCACTGACTATTCACTCCAGGTTATGATGCCATATCAGAGCTCAGTGCCGGTCTCTGCTGTGACATATCTAGTTATCATCAACATTCATACTCTGATGAATGTTAGTAATTGAAAATCCATGTTGCTAATCACATACATAATCTGCATCTTTGCCATCATGTCATTTTGTTCATGGGCTGACTGGATGATGGCAAACATGACTGAAGAAAAAGGTTGGCTACTATCCATATAATGGGTCAGCGTGACTACTTGACTATTGAAGTCCTCTCCTACTGAGGTCAGATTCTGATGAGCATTTAGTTGGGACACAAATATTCCCACAGCCTCTTCTATCTGTAAAGGTCCATACACCTACATCCTTCTTTAATGTCTTGCTCACTAATTTTTCAATCATGCTCCTTCCAAGTTGCTGACCATCAGCCAAATCATTGGCTACAGCCCATGGGTAAGTATATAATCACATATCTTTTCATTTTTTTCCTTCCAAGAACAATGCACATTCAAGTATATTGCCTGGAGTTTTACCTAATGTGTAGATTTCACTCCATGACTGTCTTTCAAGGATGTTCCCACAAAGGGCTGCAATGTTGCAGTTGGTAGAATGGTACGTGCAAAGTATGTAGAATCGTATATAAATAATCCCTATGTTCTTTTTCTCAGCTCACCAACCACAAGGCACACTCCATGAGGTCAATGGTATTTGATGGTCAAGAGAAACCTCCGTGACAGAAGTAGGAGCCCCAGGTGTTTGGATCACTCCTTCGTGTAACTTCCTTGTACCCTTAGGCCCTGCTAAGCCCTTGTCACATATACCACTTTCATTTGATGATGAATTGCTTATGTACATATCCAACTCATGGTTTGGTGAATCAGATAAAACCCAGACCGTGATGAAAATCTCAGACGGTGACTTGCTAGCTGGGCTAGACAGTGTTTCTCAACTGATGCACGATAGTCACTTGGGAAGAGGGAACTTCAGTTGAAGAATTGCCTCCATTGGATCTGCCTATGAACACATTTGGGGGCGGTTTTTCCATTAGAGACTGTTGTGGGATGGATGGTCCTATCCATTGTGAGATGAGTCACCCTTGGCCATGTGGTTCTGGGCTGTGAATGAAAGCAAACTGAGCAAGCTATGGACAGCAAGCCAGTGAGGAGAGTTCCTCCATGGTCTCTGCTTTACTTCCTGCTTCCAGTTTCTGCTTGAGTTCCTGCTCTGACTTCCCTCAGTGATGGATTATGATGTGGAATAGTAAGCCAAATAAACCATTTCTTCCCTGAGATGCTTTTGATCAGTGTTTTCAAAGCAATAGAAAAGCAATCAAGGGCTGGAGAGATGGCTCAGAGGTTAAGAGCACTGACTCTTCTTCCAGAGATCCTGAGTTCAATTCCCAGCAACCACATGGTGGCTCACAACCATCTAAATTGAGATCTGGTGCCCTCTTCTGGTCTGTAGGCACATATACAGACAGAATATTATATACATAATAAATAAATAAATCTTTTTAAAAAAAGCAATCAAATACAGAAACTGGTATCAGAAAGTGCATTTGCTGTGATGGTCCTGACCTTGGAAAGGTTTACATGAAGGAATGCTGAGAGAAATACAAATGCATATATACATAAAATTTAAATTTTTAATTAAAAAAAATTTAAAGGATACCTTGCATCACCGGGCACCTAGGAATTTTACTGATGTAGAAGCCCACTGCTTTACTATTATTAGACTTATTTACTATTCTCTAAGACATAAACATTTCGTCAACAAATCCAGAGACATTGTTTCAACAGCATATCATTACCATAACAGACCAGTGTGAAGCAATATAAAAGAGATGGGATTAATACCCCTTCAGAACTAACTTATGACACAGGGTTGGAGAGTTAAAATACCCTTGAGGTGGAACAATAAAAGTATATTGCTGGCCTTGCTAGGTGAACACAGATTGCTTCCTGCAGGACTTACAGACATAGAGCAAGAAAGTATCTGCTAGATCAATAGCTGTATACCAGGTGCCAGGAAGATTTAATCTGATGAGAAACAAGAAATAATGACAATGAACCACATCTGGTACAGCGCTTGCAATAAAAATCATTACTCGATTAAGCTTACAATAATCAGCTTTCATAATTCAAGATCAGGTGTCTGTACAGACCAAATTGGGTAACATTTGTTCCTTTTTTTCATCCCTGTGACAAATACCTGAAAAAGAGAACGCATCTAGGCTCGCATTTCAGGGGCTACACTCCATCACATGTTGTTCTTTTCCAATTTTTATTTAGTCTGAGACTCAAGCCAATGGGATGCTGGTTACATTGAGAGCCGGTCATCTCTCAGTTAACCTCCAGAAACATCACAATAGACAAATCCTAGGTGCGACCCACTAATACCTAAGTGTTTCTTAATCTAGTTGAGTTGACAATCAAACTAACCATCACAGCTCCAAACCTGACACCAAATGCATCATTTTATCTCTCACTGTTTACCCCTGGCCTCACAAAAGTTTATGTCCCTCTCACAATGCAATGTGAATTCATTCCATCTCTCTGTGTACGCCCAGTCCTTAATAGTTCCAATAGTGTGCTAAAGTTCAAAGTCCAAAGTGTTTCATATAAGTCTTAACTGTGAGCTAATATAAAACCAAAATATAAATTATAAATTTCCAGTATTTGATGGTGAAGAGGAAACATTCCCATTACAAAAAAAAAAAAAAAGAACAATAAAGCATAACAAGAAAAATAGAACTGAATCAAGACAAACCCTCAGCAGAACAAACATCAAATACTGCTGAAATGAGTCTGGCATTTATGAACTTAGGTAGCCACACCTTTCGAACTCAATAGCCTGCAGCAAAGGTAGCCTCTTTCTTGGGCTAGCTCTACTCCACTTGGCACCTGAAGCTTGCTTTGGTGGACTTAGCATACTGTAACAATCCCTATAGCGTGGGCACCCCATTCTGACTTGGACTTCCCCTTCAGAATTTCACAGAGAGCCCAGCCATGGGTTTCAAGCCAGGTATGTGTCCCTGCTGTGTGTTATCTGGCCTCTGAAGCTTTCTGGAACATCACTGACAACTTTATAATCCTTCAGCTTTGCATCTTCAATACTTGCAAAATTGGCAAAATATGATGATGTCAACAAGGTCTGTAGGCATCTTGAGTTGAAGCCTACCACACTTAACCCACAGCTTCAGTGTGGTGTGTGTGTGTGTGTGTGTGTGTGTGTACTTTTTGTGCATGAGAGCACTTTAAGTAGCCCTGCTTTGGCATGATTTTCTGGAAACTTTGTTTTCTCAGGCATTTAGTCTTAAG